CTCCTCCTCCACCCACCCGGGCTCCTGAAAACCCTGGGCGTGATGGGTACTTTACAGGGTAAGAGGATACGGGTACCCCCCACAACTCCTCCCAGCGCACGGACCTCTCCCGCAGAGCTCTGGGTCTGCATTCCTTTGAGTTTACCACGGACTTGGGGCGGGATCAAAGGGAAAGTGGTCCGAGCCTGTTTAATCAAGGGGTTGTGGACCGAAACCAAGGTTGAGGGTGGCGGAAGACACGCTAGTGAGGGGCCCAGGCCGAGGAAGGACCAACCCTGGGCGCCGCACCCTGCTTTTGAGCCGGGCGCCGAGGCCTGGAGCACCCGGAGCGCCGCACTGGTCTGCGATTTTGCCCGAGGGCGGGCCCGGGTACGCCCCTGCGCGGGGAGACACCAGCAAGGCCAGCCTTTCCACGGGAGGCTGCTTTGCGCTTGTGACCATATTTGGTCTGGCGAGGAGGCATCTTGGCCGCTTGACTTCCAATTGTCTGCTAGCGCGCCGGCAGTGCCCAGAAAGTGCTTCGGTTTCTAGAGATGCGGCTTCGACCGCGGGTGGGTTGTAAACAAACCACCCTCAATCCTTAGTTTCCTCTATGGGGTGACTCAGGCTACAGGGATTGAAAAGAAACCGGGTCAAAGCCGGGTGATGGAAGGGAAGAGCAACTGGGCCCCCCTCCCCCGCGACATCCGCGCGTGTGGTGGGAGGATTGGAATGTCCCTGACACCCTTCAGGGAGCCCGGAGCCGGGATGGGACCGGAGCAGGTGGCTGGGAGTGGAGAGGGTGAGCCAGTGACCCGGAAAAAGCCACCCACCCTCACACCGACAGGATTTGGGTGAGGGGTGGAGACCCCCTGTTTCTAGCTAGGGGGAAGAGGGCAAGCCTGGTGAGACAGCTGCAGGAAGTGAAAGGCCGCCCTGACCCGAGATCAGGAGCTGTTTAATTCCTTCCCTGCTTTTCGGGAGAAAGGGAGGGTGGCTGCGAGGTAAGTCACACTCTGAGAAAGCCCCTACCCTGCCCTATTTGATTCCAGTAGCCGTTTATTAAGTAAATCTAATGAAACAATATATGTAAAGCACTTCACACTCAACCAGGCTGGCTATCTATTTGTTAAATAAAATAGAATCGTTAAGTCCAGGTGTTGTGCTTCAACAATTCGATAAAAATGAAATAAAACCAAAATGAGTTACCTTGAGGGAGAAGTTTAAGGGATGGCCAGTTTGCAGTGCAGCATTTAAGGCAGCTGAATCCCACATGGCCCACTCCAAGGTCCATGACCCAGCGCCTTGAAAACCACAATGGGTATGTGGCATGTGTGCCCAAACTCCCAAAAGGAGGAGGGATTGAGGAGTGGCCATCCTCCCTGGGATTGGGAGGTGGAGAGCAGTTTCTCACTTTCTCTCCTGCTCTCAGTCTCTCTCTGGGAAGTGTATGTGCCCTACACACACACACAAAAAAAAGTTTAAGGGAATGGTAAGCCCACCCCATAGTTGTGCCCTAGAAAAGGTATTTGGGGGACCACTCCTTGAGTGGCTGCATCCTATGCTCAAAATACAGCACAGCCCACCAAAGTAAGCCGCTTCGTCTGTTACCTGTACGTGGGGGTGTGCTCTGACTGCAGACCCCTCAGACTGGGCGAAGTCAGGGCTGCCTTAGACAAAGACAGGCAGAGCATGGCCCCGTGCAGGCCCCCAGAGCTGCTGCTTTCCACACAGCGAGTCTTTGGCACATAGGACACACAGAGGAAAGGGGTAAGCCACTACCGGTCACACCGTGGGACATAAAATCTTTGGACGCCTTCCTCAGAAGCCACCACAGATGCAACAATGGAGAAATTAACTGTGGAATGAGAGGAAGTGACTTGGATCAAGTAGTTATTCATTCAGAAGCTGCAAGATTGACTTGATTGAAGGATGGAAACTTGAGGCCAGCTCTATCCAGAGAGGTTCGTACCCCAGAAGAGGGGTGAGAATCTGGGTTGGGATTGGGTGGGCAAGGATGCAGTCTTCATTCCTAGCCCAGCTTCAAGAAACAGATAATAAAAGGGTAGATGTCAGGTAAGGAAAATGCCCTGATGACAGGATAACTCCAAAATTCCCAGTTCCCCAACAGCTTATAAAATGTGACAGTGGGGGACCAGCACATGGCATAATGATTACATCACTGGACTCCCTCATAGTTGACTGCGGTTCGAGTCCCGGACCTGGTGGCTTAAAACTCACACTGGGCATGTGTGTGTGCATGCCTCAGATCCCGAAATGAGAATGGAGGAGAAGGGATTGTGGTGTGACCAGTCCCCTGGGGGGTGATTTCTTGCTTTCTTTCTCTGTCTCTCTGGCGAGTGCACACATTCTATAGCAAAAATCTCTCTCTAAAAACATTTTTTCAAGTGTGACAGTGGATGAGCCAAGAAGATTTGCCATTGTCCCAGCCCTTCCAACAATAGGTTTGGATTAAATAACACGTACAAGCATGTTGCATGTATCAGGTACTGCTCATAAGAGGCAGCATGGTGTTGTGAGGAAATAGATCATTTCTGGAGCAAAATACCTGATTGACTTCAGGCAAGATACTGGAGCTCTCTGCTCCTGGACTTCCTGTGTAAATGAAAGATAATAGAAGACCCACCTCCCAGCTTTCTAGATTAAAACACTATACAACTTTCATCTGTTGACTCGCAATTTAGAACACGAGCTTTAAGTGCCTGGGTCTGCTCTCTACATTGGGCAAGTAACTTAGCCTTCCTAAGTCACAGTTCATTCATTTACAAATCAGAGATGATACCGACAGCCTTGCTGTCCTTCAGTGGCCCCGCCTCTTGTTACTCACACCCTTATGTAGACCCTTTCACAAAACTTGCACTGGGCCAGCTACTTGCTTTATTTTTTTTTCTTGGAGACGTTTTTGGTATAGGGAGCATGCACTTGCCAGAAAGACAAGAGAGAGACAGAAAGTAAGAAATCACCCTCCAGGAGGGATGACCATGCCGCACTTCCTTCTCCTTCGTTCTCCTCTGGGGATCTTGGGCATGCACATGCATGCTTGGTGTGAGTCTAAGCCACTGGGTCCGGGACTTGAACGCGGTCGACTACATGGGAGTCCAGCGACATAGCCATTACTCCAACTGCTGGTCCCAAGCCAGCTACTAGCTTTAACAAGGGAAATAAAGCAGTGACACTAATTTCCTCTCCACCCCCATCCTTCCCCTAAGAAGATGTATTGGGTTGTCAGAAAAGTCATGACGTGTTTTTCTATGTAAACGTGTTTCATGACTTACCCAACAACCCAGTAGAAGCTTCCACTTTTGCACTAGCCCTGCTGGAGATGCCATGCAGAGAAGAGGCCTTGAGATTCATGAAGAGAAGGAACAGTCCAGTTACGCCTCCTCTGAGCAGAGCTGAGCTGAGCTGAGCCCCCAGCTGGTCCGCCAGTTGACTGCAGATACATCAGTGGCCACTAGTAAGACCAGCAGAAGCACAGAGAGAGCCCAGCCCAGACAGCAGAATTGTGAGCAGATAAGACAGATACATACATATATGTATATTTTTTAAAGTTTATTTCTTTCATGAGCGAGACAGAGAGTAGTACCCCAGCAGGGTCTTAACACTACAGTCCACTCCCAGCTTCAGTGAATCCTGCCTCATCAGCACATGCGTGGCCCGCGTACTCAGAGAGGCCTCCAGACCCAACCTAGAACCAGCCCACATGCATCGGCCTCATGGACCATTACATCTTCCCACTGCTCTACCCTCCAGCCCCAACGGGCTGCTAATTTTTGAAAGCTTTTTAAAATGCAGAATGGGCCTTCTAAAAAATAAGAAAATACAAATAAAGTTCTTGCAAAGCCTGTCGCAAACTAGAGCACTTAACAAATAATGGTTTTAAGTTTCATGGAGACCCTCGGAATAGATAACACATTATGTATTCCAACTTTATAAAGAAACTGATCCAGTGAATGGTAAGGTGTTTTGTCAAAGTCCTTACGGTGAACCCATGGAGAAAACCTGGGGTTCTAGACCAGCAATTTGCATGTCAGTTAAGGCACTGGATCTCACATAGAGGGCTGTATGGTTTGATCCCAGACCCAGTGACTTGAAAATCATACTGGGCACATTTGTGTAAGTGCCCAAAATCCCAAGAAGAGACGGGAGAAGGAATTGCAGTATGGCCAACCTTCTGGAGGTGATTTCTCACTTACCCTCCCACTCTCTTTCTCTTTCTTACCAAGCACATGTACCTTATTAGCAAAAATTAAAAACAAAACAAAAAAAAACCCTGGGATTGGGAACCAGCAGTTAGCGTAATGGCTATGTCACTGGACTCCCACGTAGTCGACCACGGTTGGCGTCATGGACCCAGTGGCTTAAAACTCCCGCCGGGCGCGTGTGCGTGCGTGTCCAAGATCCCGAGAGGCGAATGGAGGAGAAGGGATTGCGGCGTGACCATCCCCCCTAGGGGGTGATTTCTCGCTTTCTGTCTCTATGTCTCTCTCTGGCTGGCTGGCAAGCGTACGCACCCAATAGCGAAAAAAACCTCTCCCCCCCCAAAAAAAAAAAAAAAAACCTGGGATTCAGCCCAGGGTTTATAACCTAAAGCAGAGCAATTTTTCCTCTCTCATGCCCTGTGCGGCCAAGTTTCTCCTCCATACTGCCATTTTAAAGGTAATCAGTTGAGAGTACACTCCTGCCGATATGTAAATCTTTCTCTCCATTTACAAACACTTTCCACTAGAAGTTATCACCTGCTCCCAAATCCTCCCTCCGGCATACTTCCTACTGACGCTTCTCTCAAGTCATCACGCCCTCTTCACTTCCATTCCTTGGCAAATGCTATCCTTTCTTCTGGTGTTCCTCAAACTCATCTTTCCTTTTCCACTCCCACAGTAGGGCCTTATCTTAAAATGCTGCTGGTGGCCTCCTAGTTTCTCTGCCTCCAGTCTCTTGTCTCTGGCCTCCAATTTTCATGACGTCATTTCCTGGCTCTGAAGCTTTGTAGCAAGTCAACAGGAATAAAGGTCAAAGCTCTCTGTCTCACGCCCAAGGTCTCCCAGCAAACTGCCATCTTCACAGCTTTCCGACCTCGGTTCTTACATGGTTCAATGAAGTGTTTACCTAAGGCCAGCGGGTAGTACGGTGGTTAAGATGACTGGATCCCACATGGCCCATTGTATGGTTTGAGTCCTGGACCCAGAAGCTTGAAAGAAATGCCGGGCATGCGTGCATGTGTGCTCAAGATCCTTAAAGGAGAAATGGCGACGATGGGACTGCAGGGTGACCGTCGGGGGTGGTCATAGTCTCTCTCTCTCTAATATACAGCGAGCACATATGCTCCCATAGCAGTTTGTCCTATAGCAAATTAAAAACAAAAAGAAAAGAAAAAGAGAGCGTGTGTGTGTCTATCTTCTTCCATCAAGTTTTAAGACTATTTGGCTAGGGGAACCAGC